AAAAGTGAGGAAATATCCATTATAGAAACCAATAGATGGAAGAGAAGTGCTAATGGAAATTATGGCAAGAAGAGAAAGTTTAATGAGGTGTTCTAGGTCCTATCTCCATTTTAACCTATATTCTGTGGTCTGGGATACATGTATCTATAAGGGCAGTTATCTGAATAATTTATTGTGTTATGGTTGAGTTGATGACCTTAAGATCCTTAAATCTCCATTTAAGCCAATTCACTTTACAGTGTATATAAAGGCTTCACAGATTTAACCCTTATTTCATGATCTCTATTGTGTGCTAGTCGAGGTTCAAGAAAATGAACCTTCTCATAAACTGTTGGTGGTCGGGCAAATTGTTACAACCTTTTAAGAAAGTAATCTGAAAATATCTGTTAGAACATACTTACCCTTAAAACTATTCTGTAGAGATAAAAGCACCACAATATAAAATACATTTTCAAGACTGTTAAATGTAATTATCATTATTCGTGCAAGCAAAAACCTGGAAATGAGCTGAACATTGTGGCACACATTCAGATTTTTTACATTATGTATTTGTTAAAAGGAATGTGCTAGGTCCATATCTATGTAATGGGAGAGATGTGTCCACGACGCAACGTCAAGTGAGAACAACTTGCAGAATGGCATATAGAATAACACAAGTGTAAAACTCCATAAATCCATGTCTATGATAGTATATTTTTGTTTGATCAAGGAGAAGTGTGAAGAAGCACTAGCATCAGGGTGCCAACATTGCATTCTTGAGGAGAGCATAAATAAAGGGAATGGGAAAGTTATTTGGATGTTCCCTTGTTATAATAAACAGTGCTACAATAAACAGCGTTTGAATTTTTTGCAAGTGTAACTTCAGCACAGGTTTCTAGAAGTGAAATTGTTGGGTTGAAGAGTATTGTGAGTGTAATTTGCTAACTACAAATTCCTTTGTATACGGTGTGTATCGCTTTGCATTCCCACCAGCAAAATATGAAAGCACCTGCTTTCCACAGCCTCACCAATAACGTATATTGTTAAACTTTAGAAGTTTTGTCTGTTTTGTAGGTGAGACATTGTGCTTTTAGTATAGTATTATTTTAATTTCTATTGTGAGCACTTTGATCATTTTTTAGTATTTAAGAGCCACGTGCATTTCCATATCTCTAAACTGTCCTTTCAGATCTTTTGCCATTTTTCTATATGGTTATTAGTTTTAAATTCTCATTTTTTAAAAAAAGATTTTAAATATTAGAAACATTAGTCCTTTGTGATAGAAATGCAAATGCATTTTCTTCAGCTTGTCATTTGTCATTTGACATTGCTTGGAGCTTTTTGGCCACACAAGGTTTTTCATTTCCATACGATCAAATTCATCAATTTTTTTTTACCTCAGTGATTTTATTTGTAACAGGTAAGGTAGATTGTGTAAATTTGGCTAAAAGGATCTTTGTACTATCTCTGTTAAGTTTTAACATCAATACTGTATATTTCATTAAGTTCTACTTCCATTTAAGTACTCTGGAATAATTCAAATAGTATTCGGATAATCTGATTTTTTAATGTTTGGTAGATTCTCTTGTGCCTTGTGTCTGGTGCTTTTTTGTAGAATGCCCTTCTATATCTACTTTTTCCTATTTCTTCTATGTAATTCAGTTCTTTAGACTTTCTCTATTTCATGACTCCAGTTTTCTAGGAATTCATCAATGTAAGTTAGTGCTTCAAATTTATTTATTTAACTATTTTAATATTTTCTATTTTGTTGTATTGGTCAGTGTTCTCTAGAGAAACAGAATCAATAGGATGTGTATGTGTGTTTACACACATACATGTATATCTTTGTATATATGGAGAGAGACAGAGAGGTTGATTTTATGGAATTGGATCCTGCATTGTGGAAGCTGGCAAGACCAAATTGCACATGTCAGGCCAACAGGATGGAGACCCTGCAAAGAGATGATGTCGCAGCTCCAGTTGTAAAGCAATTTGCAGGTAGAATTCTTACTTCTTCTGGGGATCCAAACTACCTGCTAAAATATCTTGCTCACTTTTAATTTTTTGTATTCCTATAATTGATTTGTATAAATACTAAAGACAGATGTATGTCTTTAGATCTCTCTGTTTGCATATCATGAATATCTTCTTTCAGTTTGTGTCACGTCTCTTCATGTAGTTAACTGTGTCTCTCAAAGAGACATTTTCATTTGATAATATTTTAAAATCAATTTTTTTTGTTTTATGAGTTTTTTTCTTTTATGAGTGATTTTTTGTTTTCTAAGTAATCTTTACCTACAAAGTTGTAAATGTTTTGTGTTTTCTTCTTGAAGATGTGTGGCTTGGCCTTTTATGTTTGGGTGTATGTTTCCTTTAGAGTTAATATCTGTGTATGTGATGAGTTAGAGATTGACGTTCATTTTCCCCAAGCATTTATCCGGTGACGGTGGCTTCATATTCATAGAATGAGTTTGGGTGTATTCCGTCCTCTTAAATATTTTGGAAGAGTTTGAGAAGAATTAGTTTTGGGGATCTTTTCTATGTAAATTTATATACTTTTGGCTTTGGTGTGCAGGCTGTATGTAGAAGGGTAGTTATGCTTTCAACATTCCATTCTAATTTTCAAAAATATCTCAACAAATTTCTTGGGTTGAGATAATTATTTTTATATCCAGTTGTCTCTGGAATCAGAGAAATACTTGAAAACTAGAGGAATTTGTCTTCAGTTGCCTCCTGTCTCCTGCCCAACCCAGCTCAGTGTCCCTCTTCTATACGTAGCATCTCTGTCCTTGGCTCCTTAAATGGTGGTTACTCTGCATTTTCTTTCAGAAAAGCCTTATTTTTCTACATTCCATCCCCACAGTGTTCTAGTTTCCATCTTAAAACATTATTTACTTAGTTACAAAATTTTCTTTTCATATTGCATTTATTAATGTGTTTTTAAAAAACATTTTGTCTATCAGATTTGGGTTGCTCTACAACAAAAGATATACACAGAGAATTGTTTAAGTGGAGAAACAACATCCAAATCATGAAAAAGAGAATGGAAAGAAATAAAAGAACCGTGATTTTTTTTAGATGGAATCGCAATTCCCCTCAATTACTATGCACTTAATTATTTTTATTTAATTCTTTCCCCTTAAAGGACTAAGTCATCTCATGAAAATATGCTCCTTTAGCGATATGGGTCACAAGTACATGGTCCAAAACACAAGTTGAGTGCCTTCCCTAAGGCCCACCCAGAAAACTGTCTGCTACGAGTGTCACATGGTTAGAACATTCATTTCCATGGCTTCCATACAAAAATAGAACCCTTTATGAAAACAAACTTAAATAATATGCTTTATGAACAGGAATTTTTAAACAGAATCTCTTCAGCTATAACTATTTTTTATTATTATTTCTCCACTTCTCTTTAGAGTTATCTGCTAAACACAGTCTTATCTGTGGGCACTCCTTGGAGTACTGGAGTATCATGGCACCATTGAGTGGGTGGTGACAGCGTCATGTCAGTATCCATTAAATGAGCCACTCCCCTTATCTGAGATGGCCGAGATAATTTTCACTTTTCAGTAAAGTGGTATGTTGACACAGCTTCAGAGGAAGTTCCCAGGGCCCTTCAGTGAACCAGATTCCCTAAACCTAAGTAATTCCTCTAGAAATTCTGGACAGACCATGTTTAATATTTTTGCCATAGTTGATATTTGACATAAAGAAGTTTAACTTCTCCAAAATTCAGCTTTTGTACCTCTGCAGTAAAATTCCCAATGAATGGCTTCTGAGGCATTTAAGAGGCAGGATGTTCGGATGTCAGGGTTCCTTTTGAGCATTTCCTATTCACTGAAAAACCAGTTTCTTTTCCTGTTATTTCACTCAGTCATTAAAAAATGTGTAGTAAGTTCCTTGAGTTATCTCTGTATCAAATATAATCAATTTTTGACATAGGTCAACATTTTAGAAACTCATGTAACATCTTGTTTAGTTTTATTCGATGTCATAAGTGTTCTAAATCATTCATATTTTATCACATACATAGTCTTTTTTGTATTTTTAAACTTATTTACTCACTTGTGTGTGCTCAAGACTTTAAAATTATGGACTATTCCAAACGTAAAGATAAAGTTTATTCTCGCTCTTTTTGAAAATGACAACCTTTGCTAGCTACCTTAACCCACCCCACAGCTAAATTATAAAGAAATTAGGAAACCTTAAGGCTGACAAATCATTTTGCGAGGCCAGTCTAGAAAATGAACTAGGTCAGTAAATAGATCAGCAGCTCCCATCCTTTGGTAAATGGGAGAATCACTGGAAGTTCTGCTGGTCAGATTCCTGAGACTCACATCACATATTCTAATTCTGTTGATTGCAGATGAACACAGAACTTCACTTTATGGGCACTATTAATGAAAATCGAAAGTGATTCTAAAGCAGGTGATCAGAGAATGACTCATTGGAAGCACTGACATAGATTGAAGACTTTGCTTTTTATAGGATTAGAAGAATTAACAATTCCTGTTACGTAGAACAACAACAAAAAAAAAACAGTGGCAAATTTACTT